AGAGAAAGCATCCCCCAGGGGGATAATTATGCCACAATCCCTTCTCCATTCTCTTTTCAGAATTCTGGGTGTGCATGCACACGCACCCGACATGTTTTTCAGGCCACCAGGTCTGGACTTGAACCACGCAATTGGCCATGTGGGATCCAGCCGCCTTAACCACCACGCCACCTGGCTGGCACTCACCAACTTTTTGAAGCCCCTTGTAGCTAGCATTTATCAAATGCGTGCTATGTGCAACTCTAATTCAATCTACACATTACCCCTAGGAGGTGGGCTGTAAAATGAGCTCCTCTGCACAGATGAGACAGTTGAGGCACTAAGAGCTTTAGAAAATTGCCCAAGGGATCAGCAGATGCTGTAATGGTTCAACCACAGTTTAAGTCCCGGACCCGGTAGCTTAAACTCATGCCAGGTGCGTGTGTATGCATGCCCAAGATCTCAAGAGGAGAATGGAGGAGAAGGGATTGCGGTGTGGCCATCCCCCCTTGGGGTTGGAGGGATTTCTCACTTTCTGTCTCTCTAGTGAGCATACACGCCCTATAGCAAAAACCTCTCAATAAATAAATAAATAGATAGATAGATAGATAGATAGATAAAATAAAACAAAATTGTCCAAGACACACTGCTCAGGGGCTGAGACCAGGACCTGAATGGAAACAGCATGACTGTGAAACCCACGCTTCTGTCTTCTGGGTGCAGGACAGTTGACTTGGCCAAGTGTTTTCCCCAGGAAAGAGAGGGAATGGTGGGAATGGTGGAGCCCGTGCTCATGTGTAGGCCATGGCGGCCATAATTCTGCCATTCCAGCCAACTGTGGGAATGCAGGCCTAGTGTTGTCAAATCTGGCAATTTTCAAGGGAACCTAGAAATCTAGATTTTTTTATGTGGAATCCCCTTTTTTTAAATTATTCTTATTTTAGAGAGAGATTTTTGCTATCGGGTGCATGTGCTCCCCAGAAATACATAAAGACAGAAAGTGAGAAATCACCATTCCCCAGGGGGGATGGCCACATCACATCCCTTCACTTCCATTCTCCTCCTGGGATTTTGGGCATGCACACACATGCACCTGGTGTGAGTTTCAAACTGCTGGATCTGGGACTTGAACAAGATCAGCCATGTGGGAGTCCAGCACCTTAACCACTATGCTACCTGCTGCCCTCTGAAATCCCTTAATTTGTAAAAGTTGGGAAATGATACACATCAAGAATACCACGAGGGCCTAACACAGTATGCCAGGGAGCTTTGGCAGACCAAAGTCTTAAAACCTGCAAGCTGCTCCTAGTAGGAGAGTGAGCTGGAGGGTACGACGCACCCCCCATTCTCCAGTCAGAGAGATCCACAACACACTGCTCCTTGGGGACATCTGGCAGACAACTTAACTTTGGCGCTGGTGAGAAGGAGGTGGCTGCTTCTGGCCCTTTCCCCATACCCAGCTCCCTGGAGTGCTCACTCAGGGGGTTCTAAATGTCTTCAAAGCCCCAGGACAGAGAGGAGCTGGCGACTCTAAGCTCTACTCACACAATGAGAAACTCCATGGGGCCATTATCCTCTCTCTAATCACTAACAAGCTTTTGGCTCCTGAGCCTGGGCCCCAGGCTTCTGTGTCATCATTTCTTTGGCACATCAAAGACTACAACCAAAATAATAACTGCTCCATGCCTGGCCTTCCAGAACAAAGTGGAGAACGCATTTCGGCATTTTGTTATGCAGCCCAGTGGATAACTAGGACGTCCTTTTCCTGATCAGGAAATGCTCTGTCTGAGCCTTCTGGAACAGCCCGAGGCGCGAGCCAAGAGAAGCTGCCCCTTTTACTGAGGAGCAAGGTAGGATCTGGGGAGAAACCACATCTCATAGCTTGCCCCCAGATAAACGTAGACCTTTTATCCAGAAGGAATGGGAAATCTGTTGAATGTCTAAATTGACAGAGCTAGGGAAGCTGTGGGTAAATAAACACCCCTGAGGTCAAACCTCCCAAACTAGAGTGATTGTGGGAGTGGAAAGAGAGAGGAGACCCCACCATGTAGGTCTACATGACTCCTGAATACCGGGCAAAGAGCAGCCCCCAACCCCAGGCCTTCCACAGTTCTCTGGCAGACACTCCTCTCGGGCTCCCAGACCTGACCTGCGCACTCTGCCAGGCAGACAGGAAGCCCACTCCCCAGGAGAGCCCCAGCCTTGGGGGAGGCCCTATTACGTTGCTGAGCAATGGACCCTCAGCAACGGACCCGAGGCACTGCCCCACTGGGTGCCTTCTCCACCCATTGTTACTGGCACAAACCACCCTACCCCCAGCTCCAGCTACTCCCAGCAGCCTGGGCCTTAAATAGCCAGCACAGAGGCCTCTAGACAGGACCCGTGGTCATAAGCACAACTGTCCTTAGCCCAAGAAGAATCCTAGGAATTTTCCCAGGAAAGGCTTAGGCTCTGGTCCCAGGATTCCAGAGCCAGCCTCTAAGCTCAGGTCAGAGGTTACGGGAAATAACCCAAGGGGCATACGTGGGAGAGTGGGGGTGGTGATACTGCTACCCCAAGAGGAGGGAAGCACAGAGGCAGGACTGACCTGTCCCAGATAAAGAAGACACCTGGGAACCAAAGCCTCCCCCTCCAATGGCGGCAGACAAGGTAATAACGGTGAGATGGCAGCTGGGCCACCAGTCATTCTCACAGGTAAGTCATGATTCACCCTATGGTGGCAAGAGAGGGGCCTCTAGAATCTAAACCACCGCTAGGAGCCGAGGCCACCCCTCTGTTCTGCGGCCCTTTTCTCACAGAGGTGCGTTCTTGCCCTTCTGCGCACAGACGG